CTGAGCATGGCTCGCTCGTGTTCGGCTCGTTTACACCCCTAGCCTTATTGAAAGGAAAACTTTGATGAAAATGAAAGGAAGGGATGTACCATGTCAAAGTTGGCCCCATTGGTAGTTGAAAATTTTTAATTTTGTAAGATTTATATATACTCTCTTGATTTTGACCTCTTATAGCTTCTTGAATATATTATCATTTATCCAACACTAAATGATACATTCTTTAATGTCTTGTATAGCCCAGGCCGCAGTTGGATTAAATGGAATACCTCTGGAGCTCAATTTACTCCACCTTTGATGGTTCCTCAATACATTCATTGCACTTTTTAAATGGGGTTTTTCTTAGTTTATATTACTATGGTTTATGCAATTAATTCTAATTTTGCGTGCAAGAAATTATGTTAGAATATTGGTGACATATGAAGCACTATTTTTAGCCCATGGATTGTTATGGGAGACCTTAATTATTGCATATTCCAACTTCAAAAGTGAATGGCAATCCAATCGTTGATCATAAGCTTATATACTTTTATAATTCTATCTTTGAAGCTGGCCTAATGGACCTTTCCTTTCACTAGTTTGCACTTCTTTTGGTCTAATGGTAGAGCTGAGAATCCTATGAATATGAAACTTCATAGCGTTTTCATTAATGCAACATAGTTGGAATCATTTCCTTTTATGTATTATTGTATGCTTACTCCTTGTTGCTCAAATCAATGCCCTCTAATCACTTTCATTAATGCCTTTACACCTAAAAACTATATATTCATTTATTTTATTTTTTTTTGTAAAAAATTTCGAATTTAAATAGGCTTCTTCTCATATCTAGAACACTCAAGAACATGAAGATCCCGTAGTTTTTCTTTGCAATACACTAAAAACTTTAAAAGTTGCTTTGAGTTTTCAAAGATGGAGTCAATCGATACTATTCATGATTGTATTAAGAGGCTCATTCAAGAGTAAGAAAAATACATCCTTCATGATAATTCCATTGGCCGCCAAATAGACTCTTAAGTCATACACACATGCAAAAGGCTCATTTAACTCAATGTCATTAATATTTTTTGCTATCTCAAAGAGCCAAAGTTAAATGGTTTTATGGTGGTGAGGATGATCTCCATTTCTTCTATTCTATAATAAGAAATATGATGAATTCAAACCACATCATGGAACTTTGCACTCAATTAGGGGACTACTATACTCATGTAGAGATTGATCAAGCAACCATTGATCACTTTAAAGTTTTTTCTTTCTCCTATCATTATTGAAAAACAAAACATTGCTCTTTTTATTTTTAACACCATTCCCTTATAACTCCTTCCATCAATGAGTGCTCATGTTACTTCTGAAGAGATTAAAGAGATTATTTTCAAAACAATTAAAAATGCAATCCAAGTTGTAATAGATTTCTTTTGAATTTCTTTTTATCTATTGGGACATTTGGGTAAATAGGTATGTGAAGTAGTCAAACACTTCTTTCTCACTAAAAGCTTCGAAGACGTGTTAAAGCTATTGCCATTGCTCTCATTCCCAAGAATAAAAATGTTTACAACATTAATGACTATATGCTAATTTCTCTATACAATATCTTTTAAAAATATCTTGCAAAAATCTTAGCAAATAGAATTAAGATTGTAATGACCGTGATTGTGCATCTTGTTCAAACTGGATTTGTAAGGTGGAGTGGTACAAATAAGATTATACTAGCAAATGAAATTCTCTTCATTTGAATAGCTCCACTTCACGTCAGTTGTGAGCTAAGTTGGAAATAAAAAATAGGCTTTTGTCTAGAGATTATCAAGTATAAAGGTTCTTAATAAGAAAAATTTTTTATTGCCTCATTGTTTGGATCAAAATTTGTATCATTAAGGTTTTTATTCAATTTATATTGATAGAGCTTTAGAAGGCTTCTTCCCTTTCAAAACTGAGCTTAGAAAAAGGTTTCCTTCCTCTCTCTCTCTCTCTCTCTCTCTCTCTCTCTCTCTCTCTGGTGCATTGCCATGGATAAACTTTCTCAGTTTTTTTTAGAATAACAATTTGGCCTTCAAGGTCTCATCTCCTTTATACCAATGATATCCTTATATTCAGAAAAGCTAATGATCAAATTTTATTGAACATAAGAAAATTATGAGGACTTTTCATTAAGCTACATATTTTTACATCAATTTTTCAAAATGCACAATAAGTTTCACTGAGGAAAACACAACACACAAGCTCTTTGTAATCTCTTGGAATTTTCATACACTCAAATAGAGATCACCTTTATCGATTTAATTATTCTCTCATTTAAGATTTTAGTTTTTCATTTACATCACTTACTGGTCAAATCATATTTGCTTTAGATAGCTGGAAAGCTCATTGTCTAGTAATGGATGGGATTTTATAAACTACTAAAATTCAGTATCATATTACCTTATTGTTACTAAAATTACAAAGGGGTGCATCAAGATCATTAATAGTATTTGCATCAACTTTATCTATCATGTTAAGATAGGTGAAAAAAATTGAACCTAATTTCAATGGACAAAATTTGTTGTCCCAAGAGCAATGGCTGCTGGGGTATTTACTCGACCTCACATCTCAATCAGGCTTTTAATGTTATTATCTAGAGACCATGACATCATAAAAAAATAAGTCTTCTCTTGGTGAAAGGCCAAATATAAAACTGTGTGAAATTAACAAACTTCTCTTATGACCCCATATCCCATATTGAACATTTATAATCAAGCTGGCATTGTCTTTGAACTAACACTTCTCTTTCTCAATTGTTGAAGGGGCTCTTATTCATCTATAATGTGATCCTTGGCTTCAAGGAAGATCATTAGTACATATGTATGCCTATAACATCTTTTAACTTCTTTTCCTTCCCTTACCCTTTCTTAAGAAGATTACCTCCACCATTGGTTGAAACATGCACAATAACATTTGTGTACTTTGTCGCAATAAATATGATCAATGTTGACATTTGTCTACTTTATCACACCGAATGCCAAACTATATATATATATATATATATATATATATGCTGCCCTTTTTACAATGTTTATAGGGAATGACTCATCTCTTTTGATTGGTCTTGCAGTGGCTGAGATTTTGCACCATTGGGCTAATTTTGATTGAACTTGAGTTCTTTTGAGATAAATAAATAAATCTTCCTCAAACAATTCAATAAATATTTTGCTACCTTACAAGTGGTCGGTTGGAACCATAAAAATCAATAAAATATGTGGAGGGCAAGTCACCCAACCATGCCTGAGTTCTATATTTTTTAAGGGATATGATGAAGCTAATTTGTAGGCCTTATATTGAAATCCAAAGGCCATTGATTCCTGCGTCAGAAGTTGAAAACTCAGTGGATTTCCACATCACACCCATTTTTAAAGATATGAGAGAATATTAGGTGTGATTGCATAATGATATATATTTAAATTTATTTTAGTGGCATTTACATAATTACAGTGTAATTTTTTTTGTTTTTTTTATTTATATTTAAACATTCATATAAATATATCTTTCATGTATAAATTTATTACATCAAAATAGTATATATGTAAATATTAAATTTTTAATGTTAGATATATAAATGCATAAAATTGTGATGTCTTTATGTAAATTATCTCTTTGTCATCTTCAATTGCAGCCACGTGTAACAATTTTCCTAAGCCTTGGGAATTTTTTTTTTTTAAGGAATTTGAATGAGCAAAAAATTTAAGTGTATAAGATTAGAAAACAAAATTTTAATTATGACTTCCATAAAAAACATCAGATTTCTTGATTTAATTTTTGTGATGATGGCATGTGCTAATAATTATTTTTATAAACTTGTTTTTATAGATTATATATAAGTCTCTTAATGTTTTATTATGTTATCATGCATTTCATAATTTTTTTATTATATTTAAATTTTATATGAAAAATAAAGAACATGCAATTCCATGCCATTATATGTAATAGAAATTTATGCTTTTTAATTGATCTAATGGTTGGATGTTTTATCTTAAAGCACAAGAATTTTTGTATTTAGGACCTAAATTTTACTTGAAAACAATGTGGAAATGAAGAAATTTGCA